TAAGCTCATTGAGGGCAGGGACTCTATCATTTTGTATTTGTATTTGTACTACCTTAAAAATGATGTCAAACTCAAATAGAAATGGATCCCTTCAGGCCACATATCGATGTAGGAAACCACAAATTGACATTATATATATTGTATTTTTATTTATTTTGTTAAACATTTCCCAAATAATCTGGTTCAGGTCCCACTTGTGAGTTGTGTAGGCCTCGTGTAACCAGTGGGCTTTGACTTGGACATCTCTGCCTTACCTAATAAATACTCATTGAATTTCATTGAATTCAATCAAACTTTTCTGCTGAAAGATTCATCCTGAATTGTCTAACTGGCTCCATTACCGGGGTAGAAGTAGGCTTAACAGAATTCTATACAATATCCAAGTCTTCCTATATCACCTTAATACTTAGTAACTGAATGAGACCAGAAAGACCTGTTATCTCATATAATATCATAGGACCTTAGAGGTGGAAAGGAGCTGAGAGAGTTTGTCTAATGTTGCATGTCCACCTTTTTATTTCCTTTGCTCTGGTTTGAGAAAAGATCTGTTTTTTTCTTTCTTAATTAAATAAGGAATTAAGCCCTATGCTTTGGGCTCCTGGAATACTTCCAAAGGAGCAGCTACTGTTATTTATTCCTTTAGTTGGAATGTGGGGAAATGGGAGAGTCATCAAACTATTCCCCAGGGCTAATTTACCAGTTGCCAGTTTTTTAATCACTCACAAGCTAAGACTAATTTTTACATTTTTCAATACAATAAAACTTTAAAAATGTAAAAGAAATTCTTAGATCCCATCCAGTAAAAACAAAAACAAAAAAAAACAAGCAACAGCCTGTAGTTTGCCAACTCTGCTTTAGTTAATGTATGCATTTATCCTTTTTGACACTTCCAAATGTTACTTCTGGGATTAATTACTCATTAAATTCCTAGACAACCTGGAACCTTTGAGGAACTTAATGCCCTAAATATACTCATCACATACAGAAAAAGGGGCTCAAAAAGTTTTGAATAAAGATAAATTTAAAAGCTCACCAATATGATTGGAGTAAACCTGTCTGAAGCTTTCTAAGCAAAATTTATAAATGATACATCTTCTACCTTAAGAAGAACCATTAAAAAATAAATTATATACTTTAATTTCTGCCCTATTCCTAGGAACAGACCCCTGAAAGAAGACCAACTAGAACTTGGATAAAAACTTAAGTAGTTAGGTAGATTTCATTCTTTCCTCCTAATTGGTTTAGTTATATAGGTCAACTTAGATGACCGAAGTACTAATTCCCTTTAACTATACCTTTGAGAAAGGGTGCCTTGAAGAATTAGACTTTTGAGAAGGGTTTTGATTTTAAAGAAAAAGTAGTACTTTAGGCAATATATGGAAGAGTGCCTCTCTAGGAAAAAAATAGACCTCCAAATAATTTCTTTTCCTATTTTCAAAAAATGAGGCAAAATTGCCCTTTTAGGAAGGCTGATGGTACACTTTATAAGAAATATCTGATTTGCTTGCTAAGGCAATATCATGAAACATTGGAATGATATATTTCAGCAAACCACACAAAAAGAGAATGCTTAGAAAAGCTATACTTCAAATTTAAATTTGCTGGAAAACAGGTTTACCTCTTAAAAAGATAAAGCTACTGAAAGCACATGAATAAAATATTTCAGAGGACTGGAAGAAAAACTATTACTCCTTTCCAAAATATTTTGATGTAGCTATAATCTCATCGATGTGGGCATTCCCTCCAATAGTACACATCATAATCCATTTATGCTTTCCTATCCAGTATAAGTCTTATAATAAATGTCCTCTCATAAATTCTCCAGATTAAGTTCCATCTAAATTGCTAGGGGTCTTTCCCTAGATCTCTTGATATTGCACAAGTTTCTCACTACCCTATAATTTTGATTCTTCAGAGATTATTATATGCAATGATTTTCAGTTATTTTATCATTCCTGAAAAAAATAGGGTTTGCTTCAAAGAGAAGGTTGGGATTTCTGAATGTGCCAGTTTCTCAAATGCTATCCAGCCTTGTCTTTTCCTGCTTAATTCTCAGCCTAACTTATTATCTTTCTACAGTGTTTGTTCAAGATATATGTGCTGATGGACCTAGTTAATGGACTGAATAACCAAATGTATTTCATTTTCAACAATAGATATTCCTCATCTGTAGTGTCTTGATTCTTGATTCGGTCCACAAAATATTGACATAAGATTGAAATACCTCTTCTATTAGAGATTTGCCCTAAAGATTATTCAAGACAATAGTATCTTTTGTCTAATATTTAAGTCCCTGTTTATGCCTCACTTGATATTTGTAAGCAGTGATTGTCGAATAGTTGCCACTATCCTGCTATCTATAGATATGGTGGAAAGGGTGCTGAATTTGGAAAATTTCAAATGTTTTATTCACTACCTATATGAATGTGGGCTTAATGTCTCTTGACCTCAGTTTCCTCATTTGTAAAATGAGGGGGTTGGACTAGATGACCTCATTTACTTTCTAGCTCAAAATCTATAATCCTAACTTTAACCAAGGAGAACCTTTAAGGCTGCATTTTGCTATACATACAACCAACATGCATCCACACACACGTAAAATGAATAAGGAATAGACAAAGTGGGATCTAGTCTCTCTACCTTTCTTTCAGTCAGTTGTGTGACTATAAAGATATAATCTGCTATAGAACATCATTTATGAAAATGTGTTTGTACCTCATATTTCATCAAGGGTTTCTTCCATATGTGTATATATTATTCTCGTAGATATTTTGTAGAGGTGAGAAAGTAGCCATATGAGATGGTAGATATCAATATACTGTCAATCATTTTTCCCATAATTGTCTATAATTTTTCCAATTATTTGGTTTCTTCCTCTTTTTCAGATGTCTTAGGAATCTACCTCTCAATGCCCTAAGTGTCTGAAGTTATAAAGGAAGTTAGAAGACAGTAAAAATAAAACTTTAGAGAAATCATTCTTTTGGAAGACTTCATTGCTTTTGAAATACAAGAAAATCAAAACCTGAATAGAAGAGGGCTATCTTCAGACACTTGGTACAATGAGAGGTGCAGCAATGGATGCAATAAACAAGATAGGATTGACTTTGAGATGAAAGTAGTACCACCAAGAAAACTAGAAATGCCATAATGTCTACATAGCACAGCCCTAAGACACACACACATATATGTGCATATGCATATATACACATACATACATACACATATCCACAAATGAAAATCCCCACCTTAATGTTGAGCACTAATTCATGAATGAACAGGCTTACCAATAAGGGATCTTCAAAGAAAATCTTCAAATCTATTATCCCCAAGCAAGTTATGATAGGAAAAGAAAGATCAGTTTTCTCTTTCTCTAAATTTGGTTTTAATCAGATTGTTCATGAGGTCTCTACATTCAGGATTTGCTTTTGCATTGTTTTTGCTCACTTCTAAGATAAATCTATTCTTCAATTAAATAAAGCCTATGAAGGTCAATTAGACAGTGTTCAAATTATATAACTTCATGGTACTTTCCAAAAATAAATTCAATCCTTAATATTCACAAATACTTTCTTATTAGCCAAGACACACACACAGAACCCAATTCATAAATGCAAACACATCTCCATGTATTTGTCAGCTAAACCATTAAACTTTTGCTTTCAATAAAATTCTGCTTTTTTACCCCTTTTTAAGCCTTAGGAAAGGAAAAAGTTAGTTTCTAACACTACTAAAATTATGAAATCTGGTTAGCAATATTGGTATTTTGATATTTTGAGGATATATGAAGGTGTCGCTAAGAAGTAATAGCAACCTGAGCATATTAGTTTTTAAAAGCATTCTTAAGTTATTGTCTAGCTTCAGAAGAGCCAGAGGCACTATATACTAACTCCCATTCAATCAGCTATGTAGTTTGCCTAACTGACCAACACATTGTTATGCTACTATACAAAATAACTAAATGAAAAAGCTTCATTGAATTTTTTTTAAACACTGGAAGTAACCTTGGAAATAATCTAGTTCAAATTCCATATTTTACAAATGAGTATATAGTGAGACTGAAAGAGGTAAAGAGACTTGTCTATTAACATAGAATACTTAACTAAAAAGATCTTGATTTACACTGGAATTGCTGACCACCTTTTATGGTGATCAGGAAATGTGTGTACAATATGGAGAGAGTTCTGAATTATTGAAATCCAATTTATCAAACATTCCCTGGTATTTCTGCAAGACATTAATAAATATTTCTACTCCGAAGGATTTTATATCTTTTTTTTTTAACAATGCAAATGGGTGGAAAAACCCCTCCATGGGCCCAACTTGGTTCAAAGTTTCTAAAGTGAAATGGCAATAGTACCACATGTAAGGGGTACAACATCTTCCCTTTTGTGTAATATAGCTGAGATCAGTGAAAAAAATTGGTTAGTAAAATTACCCAGAAATACATAGTCTCCTCTAGGAAATACCCTTATAAATAACTCAACCACTTCCACACAAACTATAATAATTGCTAATAATATATAGTCAACATATGGTATTTCAGCTCTAGAATGTCAGTTTTACATTCACTGTCTTAGCCTAAAATTCACTTTTAAATTGAACCTTAAAATTTTTTTCCTTTGTAGTGGTCAGATCCACCTAAGAAGTATACCATCTATAAAAGTGAAAGGGCTACCAATCTTTACTACTTGAAACATGAAGTATCTGGAAGACAATTTTTTTTCAGATGAGTTGGCAAAGTTTCATGTTTATTTCCCTTGTCTTTTTTAAAAGTTTGTCCTCCGTATGTTATGCAAATTTTAAATGTGGTTTAAAGGTATATGACTCAACCTGAAACATTTTTTTTAATCCTTTCACAAATTCTGAACCTTAAGTGAAACCAATTCGTTACTCTGGGATTCCTTTAAACAGTCAATTATAATTCTTTAATCCAAATTATTTTTCACAAATAATATTTAAAAAACATTTTCTTGAATGTTAATGAAATTTTTGGCATGGAAAGTTACTTCTTAAGAAAAATAGTCTTAAGGAGACAAACCTTAGAAAATTGAAACTGATATTTTTAATAAAGAAAAATAAAGAGAAAGATAACCCTGTGTTCCAGCTTCTTCTCTCCCCATCCTGGTATACATAGTAATCAGTTCCTGAAAAAATTCTCCATGAAGAATTTGCTTTATAATTCCATGTCCAGGACCTCAAGTCATCTCGTCATAAAGAAGGATTTTGTAAAGGAAACATCCAGTCACCAGTAATATTTTAGGTACATCATCCTTGAGTATTAAATTCTGCTTTTTTAAAAAAACCCTCTTGTATATCTTCTTCCTAGTTAAGATTATAAAGGACAATAGAGAGGTGACCCAACCCAACTGGACTGAGAAGTTGAACACTTGACATCCAGAAATGTAATATAGTTTTTAAGAGTTAGGTAAGATACTGACCTGAAAAGACAAGACAAATGCCTTTAATTGCAACTTCTAATTTCCTCCCTACTGGAATGTTTTACCTCTCTGCTCGGATTTTATATCGGAGGACAAAATAGGCAATGAGGCGAAGGGAGATGAAGAAAATCCCAAGAACAATAAAGTCCAAGTAAAGTTTGGCATTTTCCACATCCAATTCTTTCAGTATGGCTTCTGATTTCTGAAAGTGGCAGGTCTCTTCAATGTCACAATGAAGATCTTCTCTATCCAAACCATAGATAGAGAGAATAACTCCCTCAAACCCATACCTAGGAAGGAAAGCACTGATTATAATTTAAGAAGGTCACCATCACTTCAGGTCAACAACAGTCACTTCCTTCATTACACTAACCTAGAATTCTAGAATTTTAAAGCTGGAATGATGCTAAAAATCCCTTGGTCTGACTGTCTCATTTTGTAAATGAGAAAATTGAGGCCAAGATTTAAAAAAACTAAAGTTTACTTGTTGCACTCAGCCAAGCTGCTTACACAGCTACTTAGTGTCTAAATCTTCACTTTGACCCTGTTTTCCTGACGCCCAGTCTAGTACTCCTTCTGTTGCATTAGGCTACCTGATCCTCCACATTTTCTCATTTATTGGAAGGATAATACAGTCTATATATTTTGTCTTCTGGATGGATCTCATTCTCTTTTCTCCTATCCCGAGTACATTTAACATCCCAACACATTCTACTCTTTTATATAATGTCTCTGTATTATCATAACCTAGGTGCCTTTCTCCTTACTCATCCACCACTTCCCTTTCTTTCAAAGAAAACTCCCTCTTAGAACAGCCACAGCGGATCAGCAAGAAAAACAATTCTACTTCAATAAATAAATATGCTCTGATAATGAAACATACCAGCACTCTCCTCATGGAAAAAAAGTTGGAGACTAGTAGGGTAGAAGACTGTGTGCATTATGAAATGAATTCAATGTGTTAGAAACTTTGGCTTAATTGTTTTTCTCATAAGTGAGGATTCAATCTAGAGGTAGGGAAGGTTTTGTTTTTTTCTTCTAAAAAGTGCCTGTGACTAAAAGACAAAAGGCATCAATAAAATATACTTTAAATGCTCTGAACAACTTACTTGATATTAAGTAATATATTAAGATTTGATTGAGCAACTTGCAAAAAAGCTAAAGCTCTTATCTAAAGGAATTCTATGCTATAGGACACAGTGTATTGCTTCAGATCATAGACATTTTGTTTTTGTTTTTGTTTTATTGCTGTCTTTTTGGAGGCAGTGGGGTTAAGTGACTTGCCCGGGGTCACAAAGCTAGAACGTGTCTGAGGCTGGATTTGAATTCAGGGCCTCCTGACCCCAGGACGAGTGCTCTTTATCCACTGTGCCATGTAGCTGCCCCCAATCATAGACATTTTGAAAAAAAAAAAAGATCTGATTTGTTGGTATGAGAAAGTATCCAAATTGCTGAAGCCTTGCTATGAATTATTTCCATTTGCTGTGACTTTTCTGGACGTATTGTAAATTATATTTTTCCTGTAATTTTATCTTTGAAATCTCTAATCCCATAGTAGATCTTTGTTATGCTACATATTTTCCTTTGTTTGATGAGTTTCTTAGTTATCTTATCATTGCTTGCCTCAAACCACAAGGTTTAAACTCCTGAATATGCCCCTCTTAAGGGGGTGAACATTAATTGCATTGCTATTGAGGACAGTCTATATCAGGTATGGAATGTCTGTACCATCTGGACATTAAAGATAATAATAATTTAGTTTCAAAATAATAATAGCCAGCATTTACATAGTGCTCATTATGTGCCAGGCACTGTGTTAAGCACTTTATAAAATTATTTCATTTGATCCTTACAATAACCCTATGAGGTAGGAGCTATTGTTATCCCTGTTTTACAGATGAGGAAACTGGGGCAAACAGAAGTTAAGTGACTTACCCAGGGTCACATAGCTAGGAAGAGTCTGAAGCTGAATTTGAATGTAGTTCTTCCTTACTCTAGGCCCCAGCACTCTATCCACTGTGCCACCTAGTTGCCTCTAAAGATTTCCTCAATTCAGTAGTCATTGTAGCCACCTCTGTAGGGTAGGAATCCATGGCCTTGTCTTTGGGTCACAGGGTAGGGATGTTTAACAAAGAAATATTTCAATGCATCATGGGGTAAGCAGTGATGGCTTTAGGTGATTGTCCTCTCCACCTACAGTTAGTTTTAAGATATATTTGACTCAGTAGCTACTGTAGCCAGAATCCTGAGTTAGGGTCTAATGTAGGGTTAGAGAAGGAAATGGTGTGAGATGAAATGACAGGATTTTTTTTTGTTTATTTTTTATTCTTCAATTTTTCCATGGAGTTAGTTATTTTGCTGGAAATTTTTCTTTATTCTTTTCCTTCAACCACAGCTACTTTGCTTTGGTCCCTTTTTTACTGTTTTTGAGGAAAAATTGGAAAGAATTTTTAACTTGGTCATCTTGGAAACTTCCTAGTAGACATCTTAGAGTCTTAGCTCTTCTAGCTACGGGATTTTAGAGAACTTTTCAGTTTCCTCAATCTCAAATCCCATACTGAGAGCAATGAACTAGATCAGAGATTCTTAGTTAGGGGTCCCCAAGGAGTCAATGGATAAATTTCATGGGGTCTGAGAACTTGGATGGAAAGAAGAAAATCTTTATTTCAATATAATTGGTTTCATGCATAATTTTGTGCATTTATTTTATGAATTTAAAAACATTATTCTGAAAAGGAGTCCCGAGGCTTTACCAGATTGTCCCAGGGCTTCACTTAAAAAAAAGGTTAGGAACCCTTAGATTAGATGATCTTTAAGAACCCTTTAAGGGGTTAACATTCTACAATTCTAAGATAAAGTTATGGCAGGCTATATACCAATATATTTCATCTTCCTTATTTTATATGGGAAAAAATCACAAGCATGTCAAATATTTAATTGTTTATTCATTTATTTGGAATGCAGCAGACTTCATTTTTCAAGCCAAATATTTAATCAGAAAAAGGCATTTCTATCTGATAAAATAAAGAGGATTTTGCTAGCTTTAGTTAGCAAATGCTTGTAGCATTAATTATAGAATAACAGCAATTCTTGCTAGTCATGAGAGTTAAAAATAAAGACAAATCAACTTGTTTCCCATACATTACCTGACATAGGAAATATAGGACATCCACTGCAAATATGCTGGAATGGTATCAAAACTGACAAAGAATCCTGAGAAAAGAAGGACTGGGATGGCTGTCACGGGACCTACAAATGTTGCCACCTAACCAAAATAGAAGGACAAAAATAATGAGAGCTGATTAAAAGTGTCCATAGATGAAAACCAGAAGTCCTAACTTTTTTCTCAACAATTCAATTCAGCAAACATTTATGAAATACATATTAAGCACAGAAGACACTATACTAAGCACTAGTTAAGAGAGACAAGAATGAAATAATCATTTCTCAAAGAGACAAATACTTACTACTTGGAAGGTAAAACATGTAAGAAAATATAAGTAGTTTGAAGGACATTGGGGAAGGCTTCACAGAAAATATGACACCTGAGCTGTAACTTGAAGGAAGACAAGGAGTCTAAGAGATAAAGATTAGGAAGAAATACATTCTAGGAAAAGGGGTTACCCTTATATAAATGTATGGAGGCAGATAAGCTCCTAAAGTTGGGAGATATTGAGATATTTGGCTTAGCCAAAGTGTAGATTGTGTGAGAGAGAGTAATGTGAAATGAGACTGAAATGATATATAAGCACATGTTCTGAATTTACTCTCCTAACGTCCACAACCACTCAAAGATCAGGTCTCCAGATTATAACTAGCTTCTTTCCCCTTGACTCACACAGGGTTCTAAGGGACTGGAGGAATGGTGTCTTTTTAATTCTACGTATCATGAACACCCACTCACCGGTATGCTGAGCATTGATTATTAATTGATATCAAATAGCCAGCCCAATTTAGTTTTTAGAAACAGGTATTACTAAAGTGATATAATGAAAAGAGTTGATATAAAACATCGCTGCCTCCCCCACCACCCCCCTGCAATTACAGACTCTTCCACAATTATATACAAAGTCCAGAGAAAAAGGGGCTCGAGCTTATAGAACTCATGTGGCAAAAAAAGGTAAACTCACAGCTCCTGGGAAGTCATTTGTTAGCATCCTCCAGGTGCTCCCCTTAGGAGTGGTATGGCTTTCTCCTGGGCCACTTGAGGAGAGAGCCTCACACGCTCAGGATTCTTTTCAGGGACCAGGTTTTGCGTCTGAGATAGAAGGTAGAGTTTTCTTTTCCTTTTTCTTTTCTTTATTGCTTTAGGTTGGGGCAGAGGTCACTTGCAAAGCCTAAGGTAGGCAGTCACCTATTAGAACTTCATAAAATGATTTTTGTTAAATTGAATTACCACACATTTGGAAGCATGGAGGAATGTCAATTCCTAGATTTGATAATGAACTTTTCCTGAGACTCAAATTTAAGGCACAGTGGAGGCACTTAAAAGGATAACGAAGAGGCAGCTGGTAGTGCCATAGATAGAATGCTGGGCCTGGTGTCAGGAAGCCCTGAGTTCAAATCTAACCTCAGACATTAGCTCTGTGACCTTGGGCAAATCACTTAACTTCTGCTTCAGTTTCCTCAAGTGTAAAAAGGGGATAGTAACAGCTACCTCGGAGGGTTATTGTAGGGATCAAATGAGATAATATTTGTAAAAAGCACTTAACATAGTGTGTGGAACATAGTAGGTGTTATTTAAATACTTATTCTCTCCTCAACAACTCCTTTGCTCCTTCCCCAAGTCATTAGACCATCATCCAGGATTTGATATTATGGACTTGAGGAGGATACATCTATTGAATCATTCAATCAATCCAAGCCATTTAATTATTATATGCCAAGTCCCTTCATGCTCTGCAGATTTTGTATAAAATGGCTCAGAATTCAACCTTGGTATTCAAGCGTCTGACAGCATAGAGGGCAGAGCCATTCCAGCCAGCCCCTTAGAGGGGATTACTGCATGGCAGGTGGGAGGAGAGCTAGAGCATCTCCTCCTCCTCCTCCCCACTCTAACCAGAGGATGACCTTGTGAACTTCAGAGAGCTGGAAGAACTGGACTTCTCATCAGTGTCCTGGCAGCGTCCTGGGAGAGCAGCAACTGGCAACAGTGTCTTCATTGGGAACTGAGGATAAACTAGAAACATGGAGGGATGGCAGCTTCAAGATTCTACAAGGAACCCAGGAGAAAACTACATCATACCTAATCATAGGTCACCTCTTCAAGTGAGATAACAAGGAAACTTTGATTGTTTTTTTTTCCTGTAATAACAATGTGTGGTTCAAGTTACTTATCTTTTGCTTCAGTTTCCTCATCTAAAAATGTGGATAATAATGTACCTACCTTCTTCCAGAGCTTTTGTGAAGATCAAATCAGGTAATATTTATAAAGTGCTTATCACATTAGGCTGGCACAAGGTAGGTACTTAATAAACTCTTGTTTCTGGCCCTCTACTCTGGGCCCAAACACAAAGGCCAGGTTTAATCATTGACCAACTCAAAAAGGAAAAGAAAATCAAATTTCCTATCTCAGAAGAAAAGCTCAGTCTCTAAGGAGATCCCAGAATACGTAGAACTCTTTCCATGTGGCTTAAGGCCCTGCAATAGACTGCAAGTCACCCCCTCACCCTTTAAGAGAGAAACTAAATTGTCCTGGTGAAAATACTTCCATGATTCCTTCAGTGAGTAGGATCATCCAACTGGTCTAGGGAAAAAATTTCTAAAAATCCTTTTCTACACAGGGTATACCAAAAATTTTCCAAGGATTCTTGTACCAGAGGCAATCCTCTTTGAGGTCCAGGCAAATTTTCTCTAGGTCCTATACCAAAGGTCACCCTAAGTCTCCCTCAATGGATCCCTACTACTGTAAGGGTAATTCAAATGCAGTTTCTAACTCACCTCTCACAAGCACAAGTAATTTCACTTAGAGTGAAAAAAATACTCAGACTTCAAAAGAGAGTTTCTGGGCCACGTATGCCATCTTGTATACTTATAGTCAGATAAACTGTCTAGAATCGTGAGTAAGACAAGAATTCTAAAACCTAGTGAAAATAAAAAGAAATATCTGAATATTTTTAACTAATATGGGATGCTTTAGGTGAACTTCTAGGCACTAGTATTTTAGGGATGTAAAATAAAAGCTTCTCATAATACTTAAAACACTCATATTGGGTAGATTAATATAATAAGTATTAGTAAATAAGCATGTGAACATTTGAAAGTCATTAAATAAAACTAGTTTGACTTATAAGAAAACATACCAGAACTTTACTATATAATTGCAATCTAAATAAAAGAGAAAAAATGTTATTTTTTTTCCTAGTGAATCCTGAAAACTAGACTATCATAAATAAAAAAAAGAGTCCTAGTTGAAGAATCTCTCTAGTGGGGACTGCAAGTGCAACAGGCCCAATATTTATCTGGGACAGGCCCCATTACGTAACAATGCTCTGGACTTACTCTCCCCCAACCCTGCTTACACTGGCAGTTCAGGTCCCCAGAGTAGCCAGATTCTTATTCTCTCTGTGTCAAATTTGTGGTAGGCTGCAAGCAGCCACAAAACCTGTGATCCATTTCTATTTGAGTTTGACACCACTGTTCTGAGGGACTCTGAAGGGCTAGGGTAGAGTGTCTTTATAATTCTATGGCTCATAAGCCATAGTGGTGGTAGTGAAGCCACTGCTGGTGGGCTTCACATTGATTATCAATATTAATTAGGCAGCCCCTCACTTAATTAGCTATGTTAGTAAATGGGTATTTACTAAGGTGGCATAGTAAGACGAGTTTGTACTAGATGTTCTTCCAATAGCCTGTGACAGGCTCAGCAGCAATGATATATAGAGACCATGGGAAAGGGATTGCAAACTTAGGGTCCTTGTAAGCCAGAAGGGTAAACTCACAGCGCCTGGAAATCTTCAAGCTATTCTCTCCTGAAATATGATGCAGCTTTCTCCTGGGGTACTTGTGAAGTCATGAAGCTGCCTTTCCTCAGTGTTTCTAGCTTGTCCTCAACTTCTAATGCAGGCCCAGTTGTCAAACCACCAAGAAGAAATCCTACTCTTCCCACTCTCTGAAGCTCACAAGGTCACTCTGGGCAAATCAGGGGAGGGAGGGGGAAAGGATGCTCTAAGCAGGGGAAGAAAAGTAGATCCTCCATTTCTTTCTCCCCAGTCCCAACTATCCCACTCAGGAGCTCTACTCTCTCCTGCTAGACACGTGAATTCCTGGTTCTGAGCTTACTACATTAAACAAAAACCACAAGGATTCGGTGTGTGTGTTCATTCATTTAATGCCTTGGATTGCTTGAGTGATTTGATTGTTTTCTCATCTGATAAAGGCATTAGGGCTAGTTACTTTCTTTAAGGGGGTTTGGGGAGAGAGTAACTTTAAATAATTGATTGACTCAATTCCCACACTTCCATTTAAATTAGAATCAGAATATGGAAGACTAAAAAAATAAAAACTGAGTAGTTTATAATTTATCCTTGAGGCAATGGGGAGTCACTGATTTTTTTTTTTAACAGGGAAGTAACATGTATGGAAGAAGATGGAATACAAAAGCATTTAATGTGACCCCTATAGGCTAAGTATTATGTTAAGTTCTAGGGATACAAATACAAAAATGAGACCTTGTACTCAGAAAGATTACATTCTAGTAAGGGGATGTTAGGGGAATGGTGGTCAGTGATGGGTATTTTTGTCTGGGAAGTTAATAGGCTTAATGGAGCTGTAAACAGTGATTACTCCACCATTTACACTAGTATTTGCAAAGCAATAGGTGGAAAATGAGGTGCCCTGCACATGAGAACAAAGAAAATGAAAAGATACCAAAGAAGCAATGGGGAAGTGGCTAAATTGATGGGATGTGACTCATCTCAGTGGGGCTAGCTAGAAATTAGGTGAATTTGAACTGAATCACTAATCAACACCTTTTAGCCACAGGGCAGGAGTTCCAAAATTGAGTTAATTAACTCTAACTCTCTTAACTCTCTTGGTCAGACTTATATCTCAAGAAAATTATTTTGGCAGCTGCATGGAGGATGAATTGGAAAGGAAAGAGACTCAATTAGGACCAATATTCCAGGTGAATAGGGATGTAGGCCTAAAGTAGGGTGGTGACTGATTTGAGTAAAGGGAATGGATATGAGAGATATTATGGAGGTAGAAGTACTAAGATTTGGAAAGTGGTGATGGCATGGAATGAGTTAAAGATGATGCTGAGGT